AAAGAACTGTGCATAAATATTGAGCCCTGGTTAGTAAGTTTGTTTTTCACAGTAGCATGGGTCAGCAATTCTGAAACCACTCTCTGTGTATTACAGTGTTGAGCAAATAAGTAAATACATCTGAGATAATGTGAACCAGACTGCTCAGCGTTGGAGAAGGAAGTGCAGATACAGAGGGAGGCAGAGTGAACTTCAGGTTGGATTGTAACGAGTTTTCAGTGAACTCATGGATTTAAGGTGGATGGATGGGTCTATGAAGGGCGGGAGGGAGGTAAAAAACACTCATTTTCTAGCTATTTCCCAACACTCAGATTTGTTTTATAAATATCACTCTCCGCAAAATGGAGCCAAGCCTCCTTGATAAATGGCTGATTCCAGGGCTGGGGCTGAGGAAGTGCAAGAGGAGGCTGGAACCTCTCGCTCCAGGAAGGAAGGAGATGTGGAAGGCCACAGGCCCTCAGGAGGAGCAGCCAGCTTGAAGCAGCGGCCACTGGCCGAATCTGGGGCAGTTGAGCTTCCAGAGAATAATGATCATAAAGTCTATAGCTATTGAGAATTCCCAAGTCCATTCTGATAGGAATAAGGAAGTAGAAGGATCACTAAGTGGGGAGAAGTCGTCCCGACAAGCAGTCGTCCCGACAAGCAAATATGAAATAAGTGATGGATCAGAAAATGGCTGTCAGCCATCAAAACATAATGGAGTCAGGCAAGACTCATCCACAGACACAAAACTAGGAGATTAAACTTTATGAGGAACATATTTATCTTTCCAGAAGTATTCCTTAATCACAATGAAAAACAGTAACTTCACAGTGCAAAAGCCTGGCTCACAGCGCCTAACCAGGGGCAAAAACCCTCACTAAGATACGGTGTTTTCACTACAGGGAAACTGAGGGGGGATGGAGGGTGTATGGGAAGAGAACTCGGTACATTCTGCTGGTTTTCTATAAACTTAAACCTCAAAAAGTAAAGTCTAGTAATTCCTTTAAGAGCTGTACTATGACACATGAACATACATAAAATGGACGTTTCTGTGCCTGCGCAGTTTCCCTGAGCACCACGCGCTGCGCATTACACACTGTGTGCAGCTGCGTTGGGCTGGGACCTCAGGGTTGATGTCTGCAGAGAGGCCATGTGGCTCACAGAGGCTAAAGGGGTGCCGGCCACAGTGTGCACGTCTCCCCTTCCAGAGGCGCTGCCCAGCGACTGGAGCCGGGACGAGCCTGCCATCTCTGCACAGGCATTAGTGCAGGGACAGGCGTGGCAGCACATATGTCATGTGAGCTACGGGGTATGCGTGCAGGGAGCCCGTAACGCTCGGCAGCTGCTGGCCTTGGCATTGTGAGTCCGACCTCTTGGAAAGGAGATTACTCACCAACTAGTGAGCTGGCGGGCGGACTCGTGTGTAACCTACTTGAAGGAAAGCTGGGTTTACGTAACTCCTCATAGCACATTTCCTGGTTATAAAATGAATGTACTGCAAGTGTAGGGATATTGGAAAATTCAGAAAAACAGAAGAAAAGGAAAGCCACTTGAAAAACTACCACCCTGAGATTACATAGAAACACACAAAGATGTTGGATTCATAACAGTGCCTCCACGGCCTGGAGCCTATCAGGAGCACAGTCACATAAACGGACCGCACTGCTGCTGCTGCTGAGCTTTCCTTTCAGTTATTAAGTAGCAAGAATGTCCCTAACTGTGTCGGCAACGTCACTGTGATACCTCATGTAAGGAGTGTTTCCAGTTGTCAGAAATTATCTTGTAAAATATACCAATGCGTGTTTTCTTAACGGGAAAACGTCTGAAGGAATACATGCTTTTTAGTAAGAAGAGGACGTGGCATCCGTGGTAGCTCCGCAGGTGAAGACAGGATTACGTCCGATGATTTGAATTCTTCCTCATGATCCGTGTAATCTCTGGGTGGTAAATTTTCAAAAAGGGCTTCTCTGGATGGCTTATTTTCCTGCTTTGTACTTATCCATCGTTTTCAAATATTTACAGTCCTTAAAACGACCACAGCGGGTACTGTTATATTTCCTAACGTCGTACGGAGCACGTCTGAAACACGATGGAAGCCACGCTGAGTGTTGCCTCCGGCTGGCGAAGGGACTCGTGGGGCCGCCTCGGTGCTGGCTCCTCTGTCACGGCTGTTGGCACGTTTCTGATTTTCACGGTGTGGTGCTGCGAGGAGGAGTTGTGCCCCCGAAGTCGTCTTTCTCCCGGACTGAGCGCCTCTGAGGCTTCAGTCTGAGGAGCAGGGTCACCACGTCTGAAGGCGGAGCATTGTGAAGGCTCTCCCTGCATAAGAAAAGACTGGCTTTAAGTGTTTCTGCTCATTAGTTACTGTCAGATACTCATACTCACTGGTTATAATAAAAGAGGGCTACAGATAACTTACTGACTTATATATTTTTAAAGCGACTCTTTTAGTCCTGCCCTAGAAGTATTTATGAATAGTTCATTACAGATGTTATGTCTGAACATAAAAACCCTGCTTACCCCAAAAAACTTTTCAAAATAATTTTAAAGGGAGCTAATCATGTTAAAGGAAAATTTAAAAATAAAGACAAGAGTTTGACCAAATCTCACTTCTTCCCTTTCTATGGATCTCACGTAGATGGAATGAAAGTACATGTAGTTTTTGTGTCCTGCTTTTGTAATTTAGCATGCTATTGCATACGTCTGTTGTTGTCACAGCCTCGTCATGATGATTTTTAATAACTACAAATTATTCCACTGACTTCATCTACGACAGTAACATAACCATTCCCTGCTGGATACTGAGGCTTTTACTAATTTTTACTTGTAGCTCTGTAGTGAGTGTGGACTATTTCCTCGGTTCAAATCCCCAAAGTGGATTGACTGGGTCTGAATTTAAATTTTTATTCCTTCAGAATTTTCACCGATTCCTCCTGGCATGTCTTCTAGGCTAGTCTTAGTTATTGATGTTTTATTCCAACGACCTCATGGCATTCATGCGCTCCCCGGGCAGAGCACCAGGAGGTGCTGTGCTGTGCTCGGGAGCCTGCGTGGCCAGGACGCTGCCCTGTGTGCAGGGACTTGACGGGCCGGATGTTTCAGACTCGGAACGCTTTCCTTCATGCCTGGTTGGCTCTCCAGTGCGTGCGCTCGGCTGCCATTCACAGAGCTGTTCCTCGTAGCCTTTGCCAACGGGAAGAAAACGTGCAGAGGCAAGGCGGTAGTCATTACGGCCCTCCCTCTCCTCCTCCTGCTTCCTTTGGTGAAATGCTCCTGGTGCTCCTGGCTGCTGAAGCGGACGCAGCGACTTCACTGGGGGAGATGCACGAGCTGCCGGCGCATAAAGCTCCTTTGTTGCCCGTGGCCGTGCGGTCTGGCCCCGGCGCTATCTCAGAGGCACGAATAAATCTGGCGGCCTCCAGTGTCTCCGGTTCGGGGCTGCCCTTCCCCGCTCGTCTCCCTCCTCGCAGTTTCCTCTTGGCCTTCAGCGCACAGACCCGTCTTCTCATCAGTATGCCCTGTCAACTGCTGCCAAGCCTCCGCAGCCCGGTGCATATGTTCCCTTCATCATTCCCCTTTGTTCTGGAAGTCTGGTTTGGTTTCCGAATACCCGCCTGCCCCCGCCCACTGTCGCCGTCATTGGCTATGGCGCATGGCTGTCTGAGGTCTGTGCAGAGCGGCCTAGAGTGCCCGGCCTGGAGGGCGCCCGCGGTCTGCGCACAGGGTGCTCAATCACCCCACCCCACCCCCCTGAGCGCCCGTGCCCACCTGGCCCAGGTGAGGGACTGTCTCCCCACCCAGGGACAAAGCTCCCTTCTCAGGCCTCCACTGGCCCAACACAAGAACAGCACGCTTTCTTGTCCAGGCCCCGTGGTCTCAATGGGCTATTCATGGCGTCCAAGAGCAATACCTCAGGAGCTGTCTTTCATGGAGAAGGAAGGGCCTGGGCTGTGGGCGCGGCGGCCTGCTCGCTGGGAATGCCCCCTGCCCGCCGCCCCCTACCCCGCTGGCCGGGCTCTTCCAGTAAGTGAGGGGTCTCAGGCTGCTCCTCCCTGGGCCTGCGCACCGGGCACAGCTCTGCTCCGTATGCTCTCCTCTTCCCGTCTGTGCCGGCGCCCTCGGTCCTGAGCCCCAGGAGAGGAGGAAGAGCCGCCTGAGCGTGGCCTCTCTCCAGCCTTCTCCTTGGAGAGGGCGCGGGGGCACCCGGAAACTGCGATGAGAAACTTTGTTTACACAGAAGACCACCCTGCCTCCTCTGTGCCTGGCCGCTTCCCTCCAGAAAGCCCTCCAGAGGCCCAGCTGCGGCCCCGCCACGCGGGCAAGCCTGGCCTCTGTGCCCGCGGCCCTGGCAGCCGCTCCCGGGCGCCAGAACGCTCCTCACACGGCAGCACACGGAGGGCGGAGCGGGAGCGACTTCGCAGAATGCGGGCCCCCTGGCCTTTCAGGAAGAAGTGACCGCTGCCCCGTTCGCTGGGGATGCCGGGCACGCTCCCACCTGCCCGAAGGGAAGTGTGCGCTTTAAGTGAAACCAGTTTCCAGCAGTGATCCAGCTTCTCCCCTGTTCTCAGAAGGTGTAGATTTATTTACTACAGTTAAAGCGTAATTAGTTCTCAGGGGAGAGTGTATCTTTTAAACGGCTTTATTGCCACCATATTGGTTTTCTGAATAATCAGAAACTTCTGTTATGATTATGTTCTAGGGCTCGAACAGAAACGCACTGTAAGTAGAAACAAATGTCAGGAATTGTTAGTTGTCACTTGGAGAGGGGACAGCAATCAGAAAGAACCCGAGGGGATATCCCAAAGAAACGCAGTCCGACAGCGCCCGCCTTAAGCTGGGTAGCAGCCCGGGCGGTACAATGCCTGCCGCCTCTGGCTTCCCGGAGGCTGGGGACGGGGTGCAGGCCAGGGAAGCCCGCACTGCCGCACCTGAGTGCACACAGGTCCCCATCTTGTCCGCGCCGGAGGACCCCTGCCCGTGCTCGGTTCTGGCTGACCAGTCTTTCCCACCGTTTGCAGGTTGATGTCTGAGACGCCGCAGGAAATGGGCCTCATAGCCATCGCAGTCCGCCAAACACAGGGCAAAGGTCAGTCATCGTTTGTTATCCTTTCTGCTGTGTCTGTTTTCTGAAATCTCTGGCCAAGAGAGCCCGCTGATGAGGGTGCTGATCCTCAAGGTGACTGACTCCACTTAGAAGTCACCACCCCCCCTGCAGTTGAATGGAGGGGAGGGGGCTGACTGGACTGAGCCTGAGCGGAGGTAAAGCAGCCTCTCAGACGGAGATGCGTAGTGACCACCTGGCATCTGCTGTGCCGGCTCTGGCACCTGGTGAATCCCCCTCTGCCACGTTCTGGGCACGGTGCTGGAGAGACGGTCATGTTCCCGAGGGCCGTCTGTGTCTGTCCTGAGAGTCACATGGAGGGCCTGGCATCTGCCGGCCCCTGCCCAGCTGGCACTGGAATTTGCATGGAGCCTCGCCCATTCACCAAGTGCCCACAGAGAAGCAGAGGCTGCCCAGAGCTTCCCCACCTGTGACCTCCGCCCCAGCATAGACCAGGCCTCCCCCCGCCCCCTGCCACCCCAGCATAGATCCCCCTGCCCCAGCATAGGCCCAGGCCCCGCCCCCCACCCCAGCATAGACCCAGGCTCCTCCCCCCTCCGCCCCAGCATAGACCCCCCCTGCCCCAGCATAGACACACACACCCCCGCCCCAGCATAGACCCCCCCTTCCCCAGCATAGACCAGACCTCCCCCTGCCCCAGCATAGGCCCAGGGCCCCCCCTCGGCCCCAGCATAGACCTCCCTTCCCCAGCACAGACCCAGGGCCTCCCTGCCCCAGCATAGACATACACACACACACACCCCACCTCAGCATAGACACACACCCCACCTCAGCATAGACACACACCCCACCTCAGCATAGACACACACACACACACACACACACACACACACACACACACACCCCAGCATAGACCCAGGGCCTCCCCGGGTGATATAGATCCCATCGGTGCTCTCTCTCGCCGGCATGGCCGTATGGTGAGAGTTAGACTGTGAGTGATGTTCTGACACGGAAAGACTTTGAATCATCAAAGCGCAGAGGATGTGCGCATAGAGGCGGACCAGCCTGCTAATTGCTCAGTTAACCCAGAGCACCCGGCGCCTGCCCAGCCCAGGTGTGTCAGTGGGCCGGCCTCCCTGGGAGGCTCTGAGTCTGTCTGTTGGCGAAGTGGCCATTTCCCGGGGGGCTGTCTTCCAGGGCGAGGAGGGAACGCGTGGCTGAGCCCCGTGGGATGCGCTCTTTCCACGCTGCTGGTCTCCGTCCCGCTGAGGTCCCCGCTGGGACAGAGGATCCCGTTCGTCCAGCACCTGATGTCCCTGGCTGTGGTGGAGGCGGTGCGGTCCGCCCCCGGGTACCAGGTACGTGCGCCGCCTCGCTGGGCGTCCCCACCTGTGGCCGGTGCCGCCGGCACGGTGTGGGCCGCGTGTGCGCGTGGTGGTGCGTGTGGAACCTTAGGCGCCAGGATGGGCTGCTCCCTGGGGTTCCCTCTGAGCTGCTGTCAAACAGCCCCGGCCCAGGAAGGACGAGACTTGTGTGTTATTGAAGCAGGTTGGGCTGGTGGGTGAAAGCCTTATTTTATAGGGCAGAAAAGCCCTCTCGTTTCCTGCCCTCGTTCCCGGGCGGCTAGGGCTGCATCGGCGCAGGCTCGGCGAGCGGCTTGTCTGGGGACAGATGTGCCGCGCTCCATCCTTCCTGTGGTGCTTTGGGTCCGTGATGAGAAGACTAAAGCCTCACTGTCGGACCCCTTGTCTGTTTCCAGGCAGAACTCCATGTGGCCATAAAGAAGGGTGCCCCCCCCCCCCCCCCCGCAGCTTTCTTAGGTCAGGCTAGCACACTGATGGGAGTCAGTCCTGAGGTGCTGCACGCATGGCTCTCAGAGGAGGCTGCTGCCGCGTTTACACGGAGTGGCCCGCCCTCCCGACTGCAGGCACGCCCTCAGTCACGGCGTGCAGGACCTGGTACCCGTCAGGCCACCGAGGTTTGGTAGCCCATGGCCATCTTTCTCACATAGGCTCCTTGATCCCTGAGAGCCTTATATTCCCCCATCCCCACCCCCCCCTGCATCTAGCACGTGCAGCAGCTCCATGGTGGTTGATGCGGAGATGAAGAGCTGCATTCACCAGACAGGCATCTTCAGAAAGGGTTGTTATGGAGACAAACAGTGATGGGGTGGGAAGAATGACGTAGTTATTCTTAGTCTCTCTGGAGCCCCGAGAGTTGCTTTAACACTGCTGTCCCAGAGGAGCAGCTGTCATTCTGAGAAAGTAGAGGGACGAGCCTGGCACCTGCTTCCCGGGGCGTCTGCTCCGCTCCCCGTTAGCTGGAGGCTCAGCTGGCCCGTGTCTGCCGCCTCGCTAACTGCAGGCTTCCCTCCAGGACATCAACCTTCGGGTGAAGTGGCCCAACGACATTTACTACGGCGACCTCATGAAGCTCGGCGGCGTCCTGGTCAACTCGACGCTCGTGGGAGAAACATTTTACATTCTCGTCGGTGAGTTCTCAGCCTTTCCCCTGCCGCTTGGCTGTGTTGGGAGTGAATTATCATACGAATTACTTTTCTTTGAGTCTCGTGCGGTAGAATGTAATACATGTGCACAACAGGCAGATTAGTTGAAAGTGCTTCGAGGGGTTTACTAGCTTTCCTGTCCGGGGCCATGGAAACCAAACTGGTATCGTGTCAAACGCTTTTCCTTACACCTGCCCACACTCCTGCTGCTTGTCGAGTCAGAAATGGTGAAAGGAAGCCCCGGTGAGCTACATCGCACACCTGTTGGCACGGCTGGTATCAAAAAGACAAGCAATGACAAGTGTTGGCGAGGATGCAGAGAAAAAGGATGCTTGTGCCCTGTTGGTGGGAATGCAAATTTTTTAAAATCTTTTTAAAAAAATATATTTTATTGATATTTTACAGAGAGGAAGAGAGAGGGAGAGAGAGTTAGAAACATCAGTGGGAGAGACTCATCAATCAGCTGCCTCTTGCACACCCCCTACTGGAGATGCGCCCGCAACCAAGGCACATGCCCTTGACCAGAATCGAACCTGGGACCTTTCAGTCCGCAGGCCGACGCTCTATCCACTGAGCTAAACCGGTTTCGGCGGGAATGCAAATTGATGAAGCCACTATAGAGCTGAAGTTCCTCAAAAAAGTAAAAACGGATTTAGCATATGACCCAGCACTTTCGGCGGCATGTACACTGAATCCCATGCCCACGCTCTGTGGGTGCGTGTGCAGAGCTCCATTGTGTGCAGAGCTCCATTGTGTGCAGAGCTCCATGCTGAACCAGCGAATCCTGCAGAACCTGCTCTGTTGTTGGAGCTAATTTTGTTTCCCAGATGTAAATGATACTGCTTGGTTTTTAATAGGCACATATTATAAAAAACACGCTGAGGCCGATCAAGCCTTCACTGCCCTGAGGACGGATCAGAACACTGAAGGACAGCGCTAGTGTAGCTTCATTGCTCTGCGTGAGGAGCGTGAGGGACGTGTGCTCAGAGGCCCTGGAACACGGTTGTCTTGCTGGAGTCTTGCCGTGTTCCGTTGCTGATCAGCTCCTCTGGAGCAGGGAAGCAGCAGCGGAGATAAGCCTGTGGAGGCCCCGCTGCTGTAGCTTGCTTCCTGAGGCCTGGGTAGGCGGCCAGCAAAGAGCCGCTGGAAATGGTTGGCCCCTCGCCAACAGCTAAGCCGAGCACTAAAGACGTCCAGGATAAAGCATTAAAAGATGTGTTCTAGGGTTATTCCATCACCAGGCTTTGAAATCTCTGATCCACAGTTTACTCCCTAAGACCTGAATGAAATGCTTCCTTTTCAAGCATGTGTTCTGCTACTCAATAGGAAGAGAAACAAGAGCTGGTGCTGAGCGCAGGTCTGGGCTGGACCATACGAAATTCCATTTCAGAAGCAGCTCTGAGCAGTTTTGTCCCCGCTTGGCTTCTGTTTAACGGAATCAGAAGTGGCATGCTTCCTTCCATCCTATTGCTGGGAAGGTGGGGAGGCTCCTGGCTTGATGAGGATGATGAAGGAAGAATGGAAAGAGAGATGGGCTCCAATAGGTATGTCCCTCCGTGAGTGGGCAGCGAAGTGCACACGGCTGAGGACAGGGAGCAGGAAGCCGACAGGAAGTGCTGCGCCTCCTTCCAGGCGTTGGAAGGAACAGGTGACACCACCAGCAGGCTGAGCTGTGCGTGTTTTTCAGTTCTTTGTTTGTTTCTGACCAGGCTGTGGCTTCAATGTGACTAACAGTAACCCCACCATATGCATCAACGACCTCATCGCAGAACACAACAGGAAGCACGGGGCGGCCCTGGCGCCTTTAAGAGCTGACTATCTCATCGCCAGGACGGTGACGGTGCTGGAGAGCCTGATGGACACGTTCCAGGACGCGGGGCCCAGCGGGGTCCTCCCTCTTTATTACAAGTACTGGGTGCACAGGTCAGTGCTGGCGCCTCTCCATTCCTTATAAGCCCAGTGATTCTGTCCCTTCGACTGAGAAACTAAGCGCCCGTCAGTCTAGCTTCTGATGGAGAAACCTGGTGGACACTGCCTCGCCTGGACCACGCCAGTCCCCGGTCCCTGGCCTCCCGGGCCTCCCGAGGGGATGCGTTGGGAGGAACCATGTCACTGCCGGCATGTTCACACAGAACGTCATTGTGAGGAAACAGACAGGTGTAAATTGTGGAACATTCTAGCTAGTAGTGGTTTCCAAAGCAACTTCCCCAGGCTGTGGGACTTGGGAGAAATACCGGTTCCTGAGTCTCTGACAACCTCCTGCATCAGAAACCTCAAGGCTGGACCCAGCTTTGTGCTCCCACAAGGCTCCAGAGATTCTCAGGCCCTGGAGTTTGAGAAGCTGATGGACGTCCATGGCCTCTGCCTCCGAATGGCACTGCCTTAGGCCGGCAGGTGGGCGCTTCCTGAGAGTAAGACCCAGCCCGGCCGTTAAGTGCAGCGCGCTTCCTAGTTAGACTCTGGCCGGAGGAGAGGCCGGAGGGGAGAGGCCGAGGGCACTAGGAGGCAGAGATGGAGCTTGCAGGGTGTTGGGTCTAGATAGTGCAGCGCGGGAAGTTTGGGTTTTGCAGGGGTGCATGCTCATTTGTAGGAGACACGTGGTGAAGTATCTAAGTGTCATGATATTGAAACTTATTTTAACTGTCAGCCCCCCAAAAGTGTGTGTGTGTGTGTGTGTGTGTGTGTGTGTGATCAGTTGATGTGAATTTAAGTAAAGGGAGAGTTTGAGATTCGTTGTATTATTTTTCCAACTTTTCTATTAGTTTTGACATTCTTCAAAAGAAAAATGTTGGGGGAGGGGAATAGTGTACTTTTAAAACTTAAAATTCTATACATTTGGAAAACACTTAAAAGGTGGAGAACTTTTCAGCTCCGCTTCTTTTCCCGTAGTCTCAGCCAGAACATCTCGAGCTTGCCCAGTGTTCCTCAGAGTGCTCAAGGCGGGGGGAAGGGGAAGATCAGCAGCCGCTGGGAGAGCAGCAGCTCCTGCCCTGCTGCTCGGTGGTTAGGGCGCCATCCCCATACGGCAAGGTTGTGGTTCAGTCACGGATCAGGGCCTTACAAGAATCCACCAGGTTTGTTCCACCATCAAACCTCTCTCTCTAAATTTAATAAATGAAATTTAAAAATAAAGAGGGAAGCAGTTCTCACTCCCTGTTGGACTTGCACACACCCTGGTCATCAAAACATCTCACGCTGAAGAGGGGGAGCACAGACAATGCACCTAGCCTCGCCCGGCCAGCCCCCGCCACCCCTCCCTTCCTGTCAGCCGCTTCCCACTCCAGTGACTCTCCCTGTGCTTTGTCCTCAGTGGCCAGCGGGTCCGCCTGGGGAGCGCCGAGGGGCCGGAGGTGTGGATCGTCGGCCTGGATGACTCCGGCTTCCTCCAGGTTTACCAGGAGGGCGGCCAGGTGGTGACTGTGCACCCGGATGGCAACTCCTTCGACATGCTCAGGAACCTCATCGTGCCCAAGCAGCGGTAGTGGTGGCGAGGGGCCTGGCGCTGGGACCACTCAGGACTGGCCGGGCGTGGCCACCGCAGCAAGCATTCCAGTTGGGGCCTGCTCTCTCCTTGCCCCCAGATGGAGAAAGCCAGCTTAGAGGGGTGGGTGAACGTCGTCTCCCTCCAGTTAACCTGTTAGTCCTTGAGTTTTGTTCTCAGTTGTGTCGTCGGTGAGGGTTCCTGGAGGAAAAGGTTCCGTTCAGGTGAAGCCCCCAAAGGTGTGACATTGTTCCCCCGTTGGGCCTGGATGTGTGTTTATTGCAGCCCCCAATATTTTCACCCGGAAGCCACAATGGAACAATTCAGACATTTCCCCGCAGCTGAGACCTTTACCCTAGACCATTAAAAAGCAAATCAGAGACAGCTCCGGGCTATGCGGTGGAGGCCCGGCAGCTTTCACAGCGGCAGCGTTAATTCGGTTAATGAAGAGCCGGGAAGGTCAGCCTCAGAGTTCCTCCGCCTGGCGGTTCCAGGCCCAGTGGCAGTGGCCGCAGAGGGGTGAGCGGGCGGCTGGATGGCCGTGCGGAGGAAACTGGCTGATTACTCTGACCGGTTTCTGAGCTCCCCTTTCATAGTCTTAATTTTACTGCAAATCCTGAAGTGATGGATCAGGTTCAGGGCTGATCAGGATCGCCCAGGCCGGGGTGTGCCCTGGCTCCTGACAGCTGGAGGCGGAGGCTCACGCTGCTGCACGCAGGGGGGACGGGGGACGGGGAGCTTTTGAGTCCGTTGGGGCTGCTTTGAAATGTCCCCCGTGAGGCTGCTCACAGAACAAGAAGTATGTGATCGGGTGTTTGTAAATCAGTATTTTTTTGTCCCCTTCTGATATTGACAAGAAAGAAAGAAAATGTTATTGATATGGAATGCCATCATTTAGGAAGTGGGGCGGGGGGGTGAGCGGGGAGCGATCTTTAAATTATCTTCAAAACCTGGCATTCTAAGCCTCCACCGAAGAACAAAAGAGAGGAAGCCTTTTGATATGCATTTGCCGTTTCCAGATGCACTCCATGCTCCTTCCACGCACCTCCTCTCCGTTGATGTGAATCATGCACATCACTTTGCGGCCTGAAAGGCCGGTTTTGCCCACTTTTCTCTCTCCCTGCCGGTCCCCAGTGAAGTTAGCGGGAAGCGCGCGGATGGTTCTCCGCTGTGAACGAACCCGCCTGACTGCAGCAGCGCCTTCCCCCCCCAACCCCCCTCCTCCGGCAGCTGATCCTGGACGTGCAGGCGTGCGGCTGGAGGAGAGGGTGCGGTTGGAGCCAGGCACGGCAGCCCCACAGGAAGGGAGCAAAGGAATGTGAAGTACACCAGCCCGATACGTGCTTTTTGAAAATGTAACTTTTAAAATGAACTTCAAAAGTAATTTTTGCAACTAAGACTTCAATTAGAATTATGCCCCCTCCCCCCTGGCCCCCAAAGGTCCTCTCTTCTAAATGGAGTCAGTCCCAAGTTTAAATAGTTCACCCCAACCCTGCCGAGAGACTCGCCCTGGAGAGGGCTCTGCACAGCATCATCCCGAGGAGCGAGCCCGGCGATTCTCGCAGACTCGGTAACGGGAGGCCAGCCATCAGGGCTGCCGTCATTCCTTCCCGTTTCTTTGGGGGTTATTTAATGAAAAACATGCTGTGTTTTGTTTTAAGCCGAACTCCTATTCTGGACAGTTCTGCTTTGGGGGAAAATGTTATCACTTAATTTCCTTTCTGTAAATTAAAACTAATGAAGTGTGGCCAAGTCAGAGCAGAGCGAGCTGCGGGCGGCGCGGCCGTGCGCGCGAGACCGCTTACTTGTGCCGCGTCCCGCGTCTTCAGGGAGACAAACGGACTGGAAACAGATGCTGCGCTTTTCCTAAAGCCCATTCTGCCTCCGATGAACCAAAGATTTTTGAAATTGTGCTTTGTATAGAGCAGCTGCATACAGGCATTTTCCATGGAGCTGTCAGCGCCACAGAAACCGTCCACTCACCCATGTGGCATATCCATGCACCCGGCAGTCCCATCCCAAGGAGCTTTTAACGTCTTAACAGAAGCCCTGTGGTCCTCGCAGTCCTGACCCAGGACACTGAGCTCAGGATTGGTGTGCGTTTAGGACACGGAGTGGTCCCCCAGGTTGGAGGCTGCACTTGAGCCTCTGACAGGTTACGGGCAAGGCGGGACTTCTCTCTGAGCCTAAAGCCGGTTTGGGGACACTTTCCCAAGTGCCTGCTAACACAGGACATGCCAGAGTGGGGCTCCCTCTGGCCCACGGAGAGGGGGCAGGAAAATCCCACTCCCCAAGGAATTTAGGAGCTGGCTGGGCAGAGCTTGGCTGTGTTCACGGGCATGGGCTAAGTGGAAAGGGTTTGTGGCTGGCATCAGACAGCCTGTGAAGTACATGGCTGCGGTACCCTCACTTGTGACCAGAGGGGTAGTAGCACACCCGCTCCCACACACACCCCAGAGTCTGAACCCGGAGAGCAGCCAGCCTCGCCCAGCAGATGGAGAATGCAATGAGTGACCTTTCAGGCTGGCATTCTATAGGTCTGTTTGCTGCTAACAGGCAGAAAATGGAGAATCTTTATTCCTGGGTAATTGCTATGCATATTTGAAATAAAAGGAAGTGGTAACCTTTGCATTTTCAGCTTTTCAAAGAATCGTGTCTGAAAAGTAATTACTTTAAGCCGATACCTATAAAACACAAGTCTACCAAAATAAACTTTAAGACTTTCTATACAGTTTGAGCTCCTTGTTATTTTTACCACAAGTTTCATTTTTAAAAATAGACAACTACTTTTGGTTCCAGTATTTTTATTCATATTTAAACATTTTCACAAAATAAATAGTTTTACAAGGTAAGGAATATGTATGTATTTCTAAGTATTAAGAAGCTGGTGTTTTTTTAAAATGTATTTTTGACAAATGTATTGTGTCATATAAAAGAGAATTCATATTCCAAAGAAAGTAAGTTAGCAAAACCCAAAAGTAAAACAAAACAAAAAATGTTTGAGATGAAAAATTTAATAAAACAACTTAATGTAAGTTTTTAAAGTTAAAATAAATTGAATGTAACAACAAATTAAAGAACGTATTTTGTTCTTGTAGAATTTTCTCTTACTCTTGTATTTTTCTTACTGCTTGATTTCTGTCTTGCCAGTTTTAAGATTTAACCTTATAGATTATACTTAAGTTTATGATCAGCTTGAATAATGCATTTTAGATCAGGGCTACGATTCACTAACCATTTTAAGCTACTGCAATTTTCCAGCATTTATTTGAAAATGTTTTTATTCCATCTTACCTGTGGCAGTCTACCTTAACTGTCTTACAGTTACAATAAATTACAACTTTGGATTCATTGAGCATATAAACCCCTCCCACTGGAGGGTCCCAGGGAGGAAGACGTGGCTGCAGAAATTAAAAAGGACGGGGTGAGGGGACATGTGGGGGCAGAACATACAGGCTCTTGCAGATCTCTGAGCGGCCCTGCTTCCACCCTGTTCGCTTCTCTGCAAAAGTATGAATGGAATGGCTTTTCTAGAAAGGGCTTCCGTGAACATAAAGGAATTCTTTTCCCTGGGAGGCCCTGTGGAGGCCCGTCAGTCCTGAGCCGGGCTTCTCCTCAAATCCATTCGGTCTGGCATTTCTACTAACGTGTTAGGACCCACGACGGGGTGTGTGTGTGTGTGGGGGGGTTGTGGTTATTTGTTAAAATGCTTCCTCTTCCTCTGTCAGGCCTCACAGAAATCAAGAAGTGAGATCCCCAGCTTAAACGTGCAGCCTCTTAGAGATGGAGGTAACACTGTTAAGTTGCCATAGTAACTGCCCGTTAAGATTGCACTGAGCTGCTGACTGCCTCTTGCCAACTTGTCTAGGAATCTTACTTCAAGATGTCCAGACGAGGAAGTCTCAAGTACATGCACACTCTTTGTTAAGCCCGTTTGTGTTGTCATTTGTAAATCTTAAACAGTCTTTCTTCACAGTAACCTTTGATCTTAAAGCGCCCCAAAGCCTTTGTGGTTTGTTTATTAAGTATGGCCCCAAGTGGCTAATAACAAAGTAGATGGGAAAGCATTTTGCTGTGCTTTATTGAAAAATGTCCGGTGATACACCTTCTGCTAATCACACACACACACCTTCCGGGAAGCATGTTTCATTGAGTCTTTTGGGCAGAACCGGAGTCCCTGGGGCTTATCTTGGTGCAGCTCTCACAGGGGCTGCTTGCTAACCAGGCACAGCTAAGTGCAGGCAGGGTGCACGGTCCCACCTCGGGGCTGAACAGCGGGTGCTCCTCTCGGACCACACGCTGCCCGGGAAGGAGGCAGGTCCGCAGTGACCCCTGGTTGGCAACAGGTTTCACATTTTCTCAAACAGTGGAAGGTGCACTTTGGTGCTAGAAGGATGAGTTCAAGACATCTGCGGAAAGCCCTTTCTGTCCCTCAGGTGGGTTTTCCCGAAAGTAAACCGTTTTTGGAAAATCAACACGGGTATTCATGGCGTGGAGCAAACTGACAGGTGGTGGGTCAAGGCTTTGAGCTATGACACAGCTTTTAAATGGTGAGACGTTGAAAATGAAAGTATAAAACCTACGAAAATTAAAGTATAAAACACGGCTGGTGCTTTATGGAAGATTGCTGGCTGCCTGGTGGCAGGCCATGTTCGCATGGAGTTCTGCACAGAAAATGCTGTGGACAACGCCCCATCCATGCAGCGCGTCTTCTCCACGAGGCGCAGTCCACGGACCACGTCCCGTGTTGCACATGCAGTTTAGCTCCCCGGCCCGGCAGCAAGCACCAGCCTCGGGTGCAGGGCCAGAGGGAGTCTGCCTTGTAATCAGACCTGGCAGGGGCAGCCAACCGCATGGGGCGCCTAAGTCACCCACGTGCCCATCACCTGAACTCTGGTGGTGTGTGTCCTTTCTGCATCTCATGCCTCCCATCTGGAAGGTGTCACCAGCGCGCAGGAAGGAAGAGCTGTGGATGTTCTTGAGAAGCATGCTCGCCGCCCTGGGCTCAGCGTGTAGGTTTTTTGCATTACAGAGTTAAAAACTTCTCATGCATGTCTCAACGAGCAGAACTGTCTAATCACAGGGCTTGGAATCATCGCCTCCTGCCTGGACTTAGAATCTGAGAGGGCTTGGACTGCAGGAAGTCTGCTCCAGCCGCTGCCCTGGTGTGCTCCTCCCTAAGGTGGAGGGCCCTGGCGGAGCCAGAACTCCATCCCTGGTGGGACTGAGCATCCAGGGCAGGCAGGGCGGTGGGACTGAGCATCCGGGGCAGGCAGGGCGGTGGGACTGAGCATCCGGGGCAGGCAGGGCGGTGGGACTGAGCATCCGGGGCAGGCAGGGCGGTGGGACTGAGCATCCTGGGCAGGCAGGGCAGTGGGACTGAGCATCCGGGCAGGCAGGGCGGTGGGACTGAGCATCCAGGGCAGGCAGGGTGGTGGGACTGAGCATCCGGGCAGGGAGGGTAGTGGGACTGAGCATCCGGGCAGGCAGGGCAGTGGGACTGAGCATCCGGGCAGGCAGGGTAGTGGGACTGAGCATCCGGGCAGGCAGGGCAGTGGGACTGAGCATCCTGGGCAGGCAAGGCAATGGGACTGAGCAACTGGGCAGGCAGGGCGGTGGGACTGAGCATCCAGGGCAGGCAGGGCGCAGAGCCTGATTCCAAACTAAGGGCACGGAGAGCCCAGCGCGGGGCAGTCTGAGGTCACTGGTGGGGAAACCCGGCTCCTGGAGAGCCGAGGTCGGGCCGTCGCCTCTCGGGCGGTGTCAGTCCACCGGCCTCCATGGATGGCATCTGCGGTAAAAATCTAAACGTGGGCCGCGGGCGCTATTAAAATAGTCGTCTCTGTATAAATTAATTTAAATCCTGCAGACGCTGCTCGCCCCCGGAGCTCGGCCGGACGCTGGGCAGCGGAGCCCCCGAGGCCGGGCTATGGCTTCTGGCTGCGGGGCCCAGGCGCCCCGGTCCCCCTCCGGGTCCCCGCTGGTCCTTGCCCGGTCCCCGGTCACCGGTGGCCGGTCCCCCGCCGTGCGGCCGGTCCCCTGCCGTGCGGGCTGGTCCTTGCCCGGTCCCCGGTGGCCGGTCCCCTGCCGTGCGGGCTGGTCCTTGCCCGGTCCCCGGTGGCCGGTCACCTGCCGTGCGTGATGATGACCGAGGCGCCCAGGTAGTGCGGCAGCGGCGCGGCGGGCGCGTTGGCGGCGGGGCCGGGCGGCCGGGGCCGGAGCGCGGCGGCGGCGGCGGCGGCGGCGGCGGCGGCCTCGGGGGCGGGCGGGCCGCGGGCCGGGCCGGGCGGGGCGGGCGCAGCGCCCCCCAGCGGCCCGCGGCGCAGCACGCGGTGGTAGTTGAGCAGCACGAAGGGCAGCTGCGCGGGGCCCGGCGGGCGGGCGGCCTTGGCGGCGGCGGGCCCCTCGCGGAAGCGGCCGCAGCTCGGGAAGCTCGGCGGCGGCGGCGGCGGCGGCGGCGCGGGGTCCTCGGCGAACCTGCGGGGCGCGGGCGCTGCGGGGGCGGCGGGGTCAGTCCGGGGGCAGCGGCCGGGGCCAGAGCCCAGGGCCCCCGGCCCTGCCGCCCCCTCCCCCCGCGGCCCCGGCGCCCCGCCCGTCGGAGATGCGGCCCGAGAGCCGGCGGCGCTGGGGCGGGGGCGGCGGGGGCACCGGAACTTAATCCAGCGCGAGCTGCCGGCCGGTGCGCCCAGGGCACCGAGGGCCCCGGGTTCCACTCCGGTCAGGGCAGTCCGGGTGCCGCGGCCCTGGTCGGGCGCGGGCAGGGGGGCAGCCAGTTCTCCTGACCATGGTTCTCTCTGTATCGCCCTCTCTCCCCCTCTCTCTGAAAATCCACGGGAAATTATCCCGGGGAGGATTAACAGAATAAAAATACTCTGTTCCCGTGTTTGAGCGCGGCCGGACAGCCCACCTCGCTGTGGCCGGAGGCGGCCAGACTGGACACCCCTGGGGGACGGGCACAGTCACCCCATCTTTCTGGCTGACCCCGCCGTGGGCACCGGAGTGGGCACTCCCCGCTCCCTCCAGGGTTGTCATGATGAAGATAAGAACCGAGCTGAAACCGGTTTGGCTCAGTGGATGGAGCGTCGGTCTGCGGACTGAAAGGTCCCGGGTTCGATTCCGGTCAAGGGCATGTACCTTGGTTGCGGGCACATCCCCAGTTGGAGGTGTGCAGGAGGCGGCTGATGGATGATTCTCTTTGATGTTTCTAACTCTCTATCCCTCTCCCTTCCTCTCTGTGAAAAATCAATAATTTTTTTTAAATAAAATAATCACCGCTTCCCTAAGCAGACGCTGGCCACCAATGGGCTCCTCCTGCCTTTCCTCAAGGCCACCTTTGTCTGTGATGTGAAAACACCAGGAAGCTGATCACAAATTGCCCCAAATTAGCGCCTGGGGGCCCTGTGCCGCCCGGAGTGGGTGATAAATGAGGTGGTTGCTGACCTCTCACTTTCTGAACAGCCTCTCAGGAAAGCAGCCGCCTCTCCCTGAGAACAATCCTCTCCCTCACGCAGGCGGGCGGGCTTCAGCTGCCGCCCAAGCTCTGGGCTCCGTCTGTCTTTCCCCAGAGGCCCCAGAGCCTTGGCGTCTGAGGGCCCCGCTGGGTACGGGGACCCACATCTGCGGAGCCACAGGCAGCCCATCTGCGCTGCCCCTGGGCTGGAGCTTTCCCTTAAACTGTTCCTTCCGAAGACCACGTCCCGGTCATCTCCGAGGTTCAAGTTTCCCAGCCCCTCGCAGCCCGGAGCGAGGGTCAGGGCACAGGGAGCTTCCCGAGCAGTGGGAGGGGGCCGAGCCCTGCCTGCCTCCAGAGGGCACGGTGGGGCCCGGCCGTGTGGCTCAGTGGTTTGGCGTGGACCTATGAACCAGGGGGTCCCAGTTCGATTCCCGGTCAGGGCACAGGCCCAGGTTGCAGGCTTGATCCCCAGTGTGGGGCGCGCAGGAGGCAGCCGATCCATGCTTCTCTCTCACCATCAATGTTTCTATCTCTCTCCCTCTCTCTAAAAATCAATAATAAAAAAAAAACTTTAAAAAGGTAAAGAGGAGGATGGTGGGGGAGGGAGCCCCAGGGGCCGTCCTCTCTGAGCACAGGCTTCTCTCTGCGTCCAGGGGCCCCCGCAGGGCGTTGGCACGGCCTTGGTCTGCATTCGGAGCTACACCTCCTGCAGCCGGTCCTCAGCCCCCTCTCCCACCTCCCGTCTGGGCGGGCCCAGCGAGCAAACGGGTCTGCTGGGCCCAGGGCAGCTGGCCGCACATCCACGGAGGACCTTTTCCTGCTTGCCGGCCACCAGGGGGAGCTGGCTGAGGGGCCGTTCCTGTCTCTCTGCCGTGGACCTAGTGTGTGCTGGACAGGCGCCTACTGTGCGCCAAGCCCCAGGGTGAGCATGTCCCGTGGCTCAGGATCCGCGTCACAGATGCAGGAACTGAGACTTGCTGGGGAGGGTGCGGGGAGTGGCATTTCTGTCCCTGACCCCGGATTTTCACCGCTGCTGGCCACACTTCGAAAATGGGCACGGGAGGAAAACCAAGTCTCCCACATTCGCTTTTGGCTGGAGCCGGGCATCAATAACGGTAATATGCTAATTAGACCGGATGTCCTTCCGGACGAAGCCGGGCCGAGGGAAGCCGGTGCCGGGAGCCGGGGAAGGGGAGGCCTACGCTCGCACGAAGTTCACGCACCGGGCCTCTGGTGAGCTTACAAAATACGTGCAGCCCGGCCGGCGTGGCCCTGTGGCTGAGCGTCGACCTAGGAACCAGGAGGTCACGGTTTGATTCCCGGACAGGGCACAGGCCCAGGTTGTGGGTTCAGTCTCCAGTGTGGGGCGTGCAGGAGGCAGCCAATCCATGATTCTCTCTCATCATGGATGTTTCTCTCTCTCCCCCTCTGCCTTCCCCTCTGACATCAATAAAACTGTATTTTTAAAAGTAAAATGTGTGCAGCTGAGCCCTTCCCAGGACGTGGAAGCCACTTTGAAAATCACTTGGTCCCCCTCTGAGGGGGCAGAGGCCGGATGCCACGGGGGCAGCCGAGCCCCCTTCCTGCCCCCTTCGTACCGTCACCGGCCTCCGGCACAGGCCAGCCGCCGGCGTAAGCCCACAGGAGGCGCCTGCACTGACAGCGGGAAAGCACAGCGATCCCCACTCAGGAGGGGAAAAGGGGCAGCGCCCACACTGTGGGGGTCCCGCTCCATCTGCCACCCCTCCCCCCCACCGTCTGCAGCCCCACACCCCACCCCCCGTGCCCCCGGGACCCACCTTCGTAGTTGGGCACCAGGCTGTGCCGGGCGGTGTTCGGCGGCGGCTCTGAGAGGGTTTTGGCGGGCGCCGGGCTGCCGGGCACCAGGGGGTTGGCGTAGTGCCACTGGCACTCGCTCAGGAAGAAGCGGGCGACCTCGCACGGGGACCCCTGGGGCCCGAGCTTGGCGGGCAGCACGGGCTTCTTGCCGCCGAAGACGTGGGGGTCCAGGGGGCAGTGTCCGTAGCGGTAGGAGAAGGGCAGGCCGTAGGGCGGAGGGTACAGGAGCTCGCCGCCTTCGGGGTGCAGCTGCGGCTCCGGGGGGCCCGCGGCGTCCGAGGGGGGGCTGGCCCTCCAGTGTGCCAGCTGGCCGCACTCCAGCCTCTCCACCGGGAACGGGCTGAACGGCTGCGGGGCACGGGCCGCGGTGAGGGGCTGCCCAGCCTCTCCCCGGCTGGACCCTCCGGCCACCAGCACCACCAGCTGACCGGCAGACAGCACCTCAAGGACCCTCCCAGGTGCACTCATCGCCGCCCCCCACGCTGCCCACACACACAGGGGCCTCAGCCGCTTCTAAGAGCTCGCAAACTCGGGGGAAAAGATAGGTGCCCGGCTGCTGTGGCTCAGCAGGTCAGGGTTCCATTCCCGGTCAGGGCCCAGGCCCAGGTTGTGGGCTTGATCTCCAGGGTGGGGCGTGCAGGAGGCAGCCAATCAGTGATTCTCTCTCATCATTGATGTATCTCTCTCTCCCTCTTCCTTCCTCTCTGAAGTCAATAAAAATATATTTTAAAAAGAAAAAATGTTGCCGAAACCGGTGTGGCTCAGTGGGTAGAGCATTGGCCTATGGACTGAAGGGTCCCGGGTTCGATTCCGGCCAAGGGCATGTACCTTGGTTGCGGGCGCATCCCCAGTGGGGGGTGGGCAGGAGGCGGCTGATCGATGTTTCTCTCTCATCGATGTTTCTGACTCTCTGTCCCTCTCCCTTCCCCTCTGTAAAAAAATCAATAAAATATTTATTTTTTAAATGCTGTGCAAACAGCCGGGACCGGTTTGGCTCAGTGGTAGAGCGTCGGCCTGCAGACTGAAAGGTCCCGGGTTCGATTCCGGTCAAGGGCATGTACCGTGGTTGCGGGCACATCCCCAGTAGGGGGTGTGCAAGAGGCAGCTAATCGATGATTCTCTCTCATCGATGTTTCTAACTCTCTATCCTTCTCTCCTCCTCTCTGTGAAAAATCAATAAAATATATTTAAAAAAAAAATAAAAAAAATAAATGCTGTGCAAACAGACGAGGCCTGGGACCCCCATTTCCGTGGACCCTGCGCCTGCCCCGTGGGGCCTGCCCGGGCCCGAGGCCAGTCCCCCCCCCCCCAGGCCGGGCCCCGTGGAGTGGGACGCTCCGGGCGGGGAGGCCGCTCGGCCGGGAGCGTGGCCGGTCCCCAGACGCCCCCCACGTGTGGTACCTGCGGAGGGTACGGGTTTGTTCTCAGCTTCGTCCTCGCCTTCGCGGATTTGGCTTTAGCTAACTTGCGTGTGTCCTGGGAGGTAGACAGGGCGGCCCGCCAGGAGTCCTGGGACTTGGCCGTGGCCACCTGGTCCAGGGACAGCTGCAGCTCCTTGTACTCGATGTCCCTGCGCGGCAAGGGCGGCATGTCCAGCCGGGCCGCCCTCCGGCTCCGGGCCCGCCAGCCAGGCCGGGACGGGCGGGTTGGGAAGGGGACAGGCCCCCGTTAGAAAGCCACCCGCAGCCTGGTGAGCGGGGCCGGTGTTATTCGGCAGAAACGGGGGCGCAGATCTATCCAATCCCCGGGACCCCACACTCACGGCCTGGGGACCATGGGCATGTCCCCGAGCATCGGCAGCCCCGCGGCTCCTGAGCCCCCAGGAGGCCTGGGCGGGAAGCTTGAGGGGCCAGGGACCATTTTGCTCTAAAGACCCACCTCGGTGCCCTGATGCCCATGGGAGGGCGGAGAGAGAAGCCGCCCCAAGTCCGGCCCTGTCCCATCTATCTGCTCAGAAAGGGTGTAGGGGATAAAATGCTCTCGTCCCTCCCATTCTGCTCAAACCACTGCTTCTCACACAAAAACAAAAACACCCCCAGCGCCCCATCGTCCTGGGAGAGGACGTGGCGCCTGAGTGCTCTCTGCCTCAGAGCAGCTTGAGGGCCCGGCTCCGCGCGGGCGAGGGCACAGGCTGGCAAGTCCTGGGTTAGACCACGGTAACATACATGGCACGGTGGCAGAGAGCCAGATTGTGACGATCTCTGAGCCATAATAATCCGGCCGCTCAGTGTATATATACTATAGATATTGGAGGCGCCGTGCATGTATTCATGCATGAGTGGTGTCCGGCCAGCCTGGCCAGGGGGAGGGGACATGGGTCGTGGTTGGCCCGCCTGCCTGCTGTCAAACTCCTGGTTGAGCAGACAATTTGCATATTAGCCTTTTATTATATAGGATATATACTGAGTGGCCGGATTATCATGCGTTCAGAGATCATCATCATCTGGCCACTCAGTGTACATGGTCACAGGTAGACATAGGTCCTGTTCCTCCTAATGCTCTTAAAAGTATTTGCCACTGGCTGAAACCGGTGTGGCTCAGTGGATAGAGCCTGCGGATTGAAGGGTCCCAGGTTCGATTCTGGTTAAGGGCAGGTACCTTGGTTGCGGGCACATCCCCAGTAGGGGGCGTGCAGGAGGCAGCTGATTGATGTTTCTCGTCGATATTTCTAACTCTCTATCCCTCTCCCTTTCTCTCTGTAAAAAATCAATAGGATATATTTTTTAAAATAAATAATTTTTTTAAAAGTATTTGCCACTGAACTTGACCTTTTGGGGTTTAAAGGGACCAAATCTTTACTGTCATTTGCAATAGGCTGTATAGGAAGACGGGGGAAACGGGCTATCCCCATCCCAAATGGCAGGAGCAGGTGCATGCCTGGGATCCAGCGTGTGGGGGCACGGGGAGTGTCAGCACGTATGTCGGGTCCGGGACCTGCATCCCCTTCCCATCATGGTTAAGATGGGGGGGGCATCCCTGCCCTCCCTCTGCCCCCCGCCTCACCCGGGCACAGACCCTCCCCCCAGGCCCGGGGCTGGGCCCCCGTTTCCCAGGCGCCTGGCCCCCCTCCCCCAGCGTGTTCAATGCAAACACAACAGGAGACAGATGCACAGTCCGGAGAGAGATGGTGCCGTGGAGCGGTGGATGGCGGGAGGGGAGCAGGGAGAGAAACAAATGCGTGACTTACGTGAGGACATAATTGACACTCACGATGCAGTGGGGCCGGGAGGAGCGGCTGTTGTGCACGACGGTGGCGTAGCTCTGCACCCACACCCAGCCGCCCCGCTTGGACAGCAGCCGGTAGTACTTGGTGGTCACCTGGCCCTTCACCAGCACTGCAAGCAGAGGGGCGTCAGCACGTGGGGCCGGGGCGTCAGCAGCCCTGTCCCTGGTTCTGGCCTGCCTGGGCCCAAGGACTCCTCCCCTCCGGGACCCTGACAGAGAGGGCAGGCTGTCCCTGGGCGGGGCACGCCTGTGAGCACCACCTCACACACACACACACACACACCCTCACACACACACACCCACACACCCTCACACACACACCCTCACACACACACCCCCTCACACACACCCTCACACACACACATACACACACACACACACACACACCCTCACACACACACCCTCACACACACACCCTCACACACACACCCCCTCACACACACCCTCACACACACACACACACACACACACACCCTCACACACACACACACCCTCACACACACCCTCACACACACACACACACACACACACACACACACCCTCACACACACACACACTCACACACACACCCTCACACATACCCTCACACACACACATACACACACACACACACACCCTCACACACCCACACACCCTCACACACACACACACCCTCACACACACACCCCCTCACATACACACCCTCACACACACACCCCCTCACACACACCCTCACACACACCCACACACCCTCACACACACACACACACACCCTCACACACACACCCTCTCACACACACACGTTCCTTCTGCTGGTCTCTGACCCCGGACATGGCCATGTCTCCCCTGCTGGTCTCTGACCCAGGGCACCGGGCGGCACAGCAACCACAGGGAATCCCTGCCAGTGTCAGTCCGCCCCGGCCACCCCCCGCCCGTGTAGCCCGAGCTGCCCCAAAGGACCCCGGCGGAAGGACCTGGAATAAGTCCCTGCTGTATTGGTGACTGCCAGATGGACAGACAGAGGGGGGCGCCCCACCAGCTCCTGCCTTCGCCCTTGGAGCTACGTCCCCGACACTGCAGGCTGAGATGGCGCTGAGGCTGGCCACACCCAGAGGACAGCCAGCGGCCACGCTTTTCTGAAGCGGCTGGGATGGAACTGGTTCCAAAAATGTGCTCCCCAATAGGGCCTTCCTGGTTCCCCTGTCCTCCCTGGACTGCAGGTCAGGAGCTGAGCTGGACCCCAGAAATGCCTCAGCGAGGGGCTGGGAGCCAGGGCCGGGTCTCACCCTCTCCGCCCCCGGTGGAGGGGACTGGCCCCCGAGGGCGGGAGGACGGAGTCTCTCGGGCAGAGACCCTGCGCGCCTCGCGGGCTGAGGGGCGGGAAGTGCGCCCGCACTGCACAGGGGTGTCCCCGGCCCGGTCCCGGCCCCCAGGACTCAGGACAACGCCCGGGACCTGGCTCAGCCGTCCCGTCCGCACCGACGGCCAGCCGGGCACCCTGGGCCTGCCGTCCGCCCGCCCCGTCCCCGAGCCTCTGAGCTCAGAGCAGAGCCAGACCTGTCCCTCCAGCCCTCGCCCCCCTGAACGGCCCCCCAGGCCAGCACCCCCAGGCTGGGCTTCCCCAGGCTGGCACCTCCAGGCAGGCACCCTCAGGCCAGCACCCCCAGGCGGGCACCCCGTGAACAGTACCCCCAGGCCGGGCACCCCCAGGCCGGGCACCCCCAGGCCGTCACCCCGAGGCGGGCACCCCGTGAACGGCACCCTCAGGCCGGCATCCCCAGCGGGCACCCCGTGAATGGCACCCCCAGGCTGGCACCCCCAGGCGGGCACCCCCAGGTGGGCACCCCCAGGCGGGCACCCCCAGGCCGGCCCCCCCAGGCGGGCACCCCAGGCGGGCACCCCGTGAATGGCACCCCCAGGCGGGCACCCCCAGGTGGGCACCCCCAGGCGGGCACCCCCAGGCCGGCACCCCCAGGCGGGCACCCCAGGCGGGCACCCCGTGAATGGCACCCCCAGGCGGGCACCCCCAGGTGGGCACCTCCAGGCCGGCACCCCCAGGCCGGCACCCCAGGCCGGTCACCCCCAGGCTGGCATCTCTGTCCAGATGTCACAGAGAAACTACGTCCCAAATCCACAGTCTAGAAGCTTCCACAACCCCCCCCACCCAACCCCCCCCCACCTGTCACGGGGTGTCTGAGCACCGACAACAAGGAACTGCTTAAGTCCGGGTGAAGGGCCCCCTGAGGTGACGATGATGCCCCGCGGCCCCCCGGCCCCCGGCCGCGGGCGGGCGGCACTCACGGAGGTGGTGCGCGCAGCGCAGGTGGAAGGCGTCGCAGCCGTGCACGTGGTGGTACAGGGTCTTCTCGATCAGGTCCTGCGGCTCGTACCCCGTCAGCTCCGTCACCCTGCGGAGAGGGGCGTGAGCTCCCTGCTCTGCAGCCGCCTCCCCCACTCCCCTGCTCTGCCCGCGGATGCTCGGGGCGGGGGCGGGGATGCGGGTTGGGAAGCCAGAATGATGTTTTGGGGACTCGGATACGGTGTCCGGCGGCGAAGCCGCCCCCAGGAAGAGCCGCTCCGGCACTTCCGCCGGAACCTTCACGAGTTGCTGTGGGGAGTCCGGCCCGCTGGCCGGGGCTGAGCGTCCGCCTCTGACCCAGAAGGCCAGGCTTCCATTCCCGGTCAGAACACAGGCCCGGGGTTCAGGACTGATCCCTGTAGGGCCATGCTGGGGGCAGCCGATCAGTGATTCTCATCACGGATGCTCCTCTCTCTCCCCTTCTCCCTTCCTCTCCGAAAAACAAAATTTTAAAAAAATTTCTCCGGGAAGAGAATAATTTTAAACGACCCGTCTGGCTCAGTGGATAGAGCGTCGGCCTGCGGACTGAAAGGTCCCGGGTCCGATTCCGGTCAAGGGCATGTACATTGGTTGCGGGCACATCCCCGGTGGAGGGGTGTGCAGGAGGCAGCTGGTCGATATTTCTTTCTCATCGATGTTTCTAACTTTCTCTCCCTGTCCCTTCTGCTCTATAAAAAATCAATACAATATATTTTTTAAAAAATAAAAAGTAAATAAAAGTGAGGTTAGCATTTTAACCATCTGTAAGCGTACCGTTACCGTTCAGTGGTCTGCTCGTCCCCACTCCCATTTCCAGAACTTTCCACCCATCCAAGCAGAAATGCTGCCCATGACAGAGCAAGTCCCCGTCCCCTCCCACATCCCTGGCTACGTCTACTCCACTTCCTGTGCCTCTGGCTGTGCCTCTTCCAGAAGCTTCCTCTGAGGGGCACGCGTCTGGCTTCCCCGCCGCAGTGGGTGTGGGCGCCGTCCTCTCACGGCCGAGCCGTGGCCCCGTCTGTGTACCGGCTCTGAGGAGCGCGCTGGGTCCCGGCCACTGAGGGCGACCTCTGTCCCTCCAGGCCCCCCGGACACTGCCCACCGCGGGCTCCGACGGCCTGCGGCTGGTGCGTCCCCGTGTGTGTGTGTGTGGGGGGGGGGGGGAGAAGTGGGGACATCGGAGCCTCGCAGAGCGGGGATGGCTCTGGACCCCGAAATAGCACCGCGGAGCCTGCGGGGGAGGCCACGCAGGCTCCCGGGAGGCGTGACCTGCCGCCTCCGCTCATCGGCGGGGCGTGCGGCCCCCGCCCGCGGGGAAGCGGCTCCGGGTGAGGGCTGTGTGGCCGGGCCGGGCTGCCCAGAGGAGCGGCCGAACGGCCTGGAGCCAGACGCCCGAGCAGATGAGGGGTCCCGGGGGCCGGCGGAGCCGGGGACCAGGCCGGGGCCCGAGGTCCAGGCCTGAAGCAGGAGCTGCCAGGAGACGGACACCTGACTCGGCTCCCTCGGCCCCGCGCTGGGGGTCCCGTGCGGCTCGGGCCCTGAATCTCGGAGCCTCACGTGTCCCTGGACCGGCTCCCGGTTCGGGGGGCGCATCTCCATGGCGCCCTCGGCAGGAAGGAGCCGGGCGGGGCGGTGGGGACGCGGGGGCCAGAGCCAGCCCCGGGGCCGCAGGTGAGGCCAGCAGAGTGCCGGGCCTCGTGCCCTCGGAGCCGGAGCTGCGGCAGGAGCAGGAGCCGCTGGCTTCTCCCCCCAAAAGCACCGCCCTCTCCGGGCGGGGGGACAGCTTCCCAGGCCCGTTGGACGGGGTGTTCCAGAGCTGCGGCCCCGGACGTGTGAATGACTCAGAAACACGCACTATGTTGCTCATCAAAGTCGCGGCTTTAGGAATTACAGGGGCGGGTTTGGCAGCGCCGACTCGTCCCCCACCCCCCGTGTCAGGGGGTCTGCCAGACCCCAACATCGCTCACCCCTCCCCGCCCCCCGTCCTTCCCAAAAGCACCGGCCACGGTTTCAAAGCAAAAGCCCACGACCCCCGGAACACAGCACCAGGCTATGCCGAGGTCAGCAGGCCGGGATTCTACAGGGTGGGGGGTGCGAGAGGGGGGGGCTAGGGGGGTGTGGGAGGTGGGGGGTGGGAGGGTGCAGGGGTGGGGGGTGGGGGGGACTCGGGGGGGTAGGGGTGTTGGGGGGAGGATGGTGGAGTGTTGGGGGTGGGGGGTGGGGGGGTTCGGGGGTGGGGGGTAGGGGTGTTGGGGGAGGATGGTGGAGTGTTGGGGGTGCGAGGCGGGGGCTAGGGGGGTGTGGGGGGTGGGAGGGTGCAGGGGTGGGGGTTGGGGGGTTCGGGGGGTGGGGGTTGTGGGGGGAGGATGGAGTGTCGGGGGTGGGGGGGGTTCAGGGGGGGGGTTGTGGGGGGTGCGGCTGCTGATGCTCCCAATCCCGCCTCAGTTTCTCCAGGTCCCGGCTCGCTGCCCGCCCACCCGGGTGTCGGGGTCCCCGGGTTCGCTCACCGGGAGTCCAGGAAGATGAGCTTGAGGTCCAGGCTGGCGCGGAACATGAACATGTTGCTGTGCAGCTTGACCTCGGTGACGGCGCTGGGCGGCAGCGACTGGCCCACGGCCACCAGCCCCACCACCTGGTGGCACGAGTCGTACAGCGCCATGTCCAGCAGGTACTGCCGCACCTTCAGGTACCCGCTGCAGTGGATGACCTGGGGGGCGGCCAGCGGCCCCGGGCGATGAGGGCCTGCCCCCCCCCGACCTGCAGCCCGCCCCCTTCTCCCTCCTTCCCCCTCTCCCCCCTCCCGGCCCGGCCCAGCCCCCTCCCCGACCTGCAGCCCGCCCCCCTCTCTCCCCCCCCCCCCCGACCTGCAGCCCGCCCCCCTCTCCCCCCCCACGGCCCGGTTCCTCCTCCGCCCTCCCCCCCGACAGCCTAACCCCCCCACTGCCGCCCTCCAGCCCGGCCCCCAGCCCAGCCCCCAGCCCGGCCCCCAGCCCGGCCCTCACCTTGTACCCGCTGCACGTCAGCCCCGCGTTCCGCTTGGCCAGGACGCACTTCATGCGGAGGAAGAAGGACCGCTCCATCTCGTACTCTGAAAGCAGAGCCGGTGAGGCGGCCCGCTGCCCCCCCCCCGTGGGCCCCACCACGTCCACCCCTCAGGCCCAGCGGCGGCCGGCAGCCGAGGCCAGCCTGGGGGGGGCCGGTGGGGTGGGGCCGGTGGGGGGGGGACCGGTGAGGTGGGGTCCTGGGTCGGGGACAGAGCCGCCCCATGGGCCTGGCTTCCACGTGCCCTGGAAGGAGGCGGCCGGAAACATGGCCGCAGCAGAGCTCGGACCGGCAGCCGGGGTCACTGAGGCCCGTTGCCCGGAGGCCTGGCGCCCCAGAGCTGGCCTGCGAGGCCTCCGCCGCCCTCGGGCAGCAGATACCGAGTGCAGCCCTCCCGGTACAGCCGAGGAGCCAGCCCCGGGCCCGCCAGCTGTGACCCAGGGGACCCTCCCACCCCGCCAGCTGTGCCCAGGCCCCCCGCCAGCTGTGCCCCAGGCCCCCCACAGCTGTGCCCCAGGGGACCCCCCCCCGCCAGCTGTGCCCCATGGCCCCCCCGCCAGCTGTGCCCAGGCACCCCTGGCAGCTGAGCCCCAGGGGACCCTCCCCCCGCCAGCTGTGCCCCAGGGGACCCTCCCCCCGCCAGCTGTGCCCCAGGGGACCCTCCCACCCCGCCAGCTGTGCCCCAGGGGACCCTCCTCCCGCCAGCTGTGCCCCAGGCCCCCCGCCAGCTGTGCCCCAGGCCCCCCGCCAGCTGTGCCCCAGGCCCCCCCACCAGCTGTGCCCCAGGCCCCCCCGCCAGCTGTGCCCCAGGCCCCCCCAGCTGTGCCCCAGGGCCTCCCACCCCTGCCAGCTGTGCCCCAGACCCCCCCGCCAACTGTGCCCCAGGGGACCCCCCCAGCTGTGCCCCAGGGCCTCCCCCCCCCGCCAGCTGTGCCTCAGGCCCCCCTCCCCCGCCAGCTGTGCCCAGGGGACCCCCCCCACCAGCTGTGCCCCATGGCCCCCCCGCCAGCTGTGCCCCAGGCCCCCCTCCCCCGCCAGCTGTGCCCCAGCCCCCCCGCCAGCTGTGCCCCAGGGCCCCCCCCCGCCAGCTGTGCCCCAGGGGAGCCCCCCCCCGCCAGCTGTGCCCCATGCCCCCCTCCCCCGCCAGCTGTGCCCGGGCTGAGACTGCCCTCGTGTGCAATGGGGACAGGACCCCGCAGACCACTGGGCCACACCGCCTCCGGGTCTCCCAGCCTCAGCACGGCCTCCCCCCGCTGCCCCACACGGGGACGCCCCCTGCCTCCGGGGACCAGCTCCCGGCCCCCCGCCATGTGCCTGCCCGGGGAGGGGGGGGGCGCTCACTCCAAACGCAGCCCTGGGGGTATAAGTGACTTCCAGAGAAGGTTACCCCTGGGACTGGCCCCAGCCTACCTACCCCGAGGGCACGCCCGTGACCTCCAATCCCTCACCGTGACCCCCATTCCCTCACCGTGGCCCCCAATCCCTCACCGGGACCCCCAGCCCCTCACCGGGACCCCCATTCCCTCACCGTGACCCCCAATCCCTCACTGGGACCCCCAGCCCCTCACCGTGACCCCCAATCCCTCACCGTGGCCCCCAATTCCTCACCGTGACCCCCAATCCCTCACCGGGCCCCCAGCCCCTCACCGGGACCCCCATTCCCTCACCGGGACCCCCATTCCCTCACCGGGACCCCCATTCCCTCACCGGGACCCCCATTCCCTCACCAGGACCCCCAGCCCCTCACTGTGCTCTGGCTGGGAGCGGGCGGTCCCGGCCTGGGCCTCTCCGCGGTCCCTGTTCCCTGTGCCCACCGAAGGGGGAGCTCCTTGCCCCAGGCTGTTCCTGGTCTCTCTGCCCGTTTCAGCGAGCGGCTGTGAGGGCCGGAGGGGCCGTGGCGGGGACAGGACCTGGACGTCTGAGACAGGGACAACCCAGGCTCTGACGACTCGGGGTCCATGTCTGCCAGCTGGACGCAACCCCGAGAGCGTCCGTGCCCAGTGCCGCCCTCCTGCCCCTCCCGTCAGTGATGACTGCTCAGACCCAGTACCCCCGCCCCCCAGGCCCGGGGCCTCGGCCACGCAGGCCGCCACGGCCCAGGCAGACGGAGGCCCTCGCCGCCTGCCGGCTGGTCCATCGGTGTCCGAGGGTCACAGGCCGGGTGGGGATAGCTCCGCCCCCCAGCACCCACGGCAGTGCCATCGCAGGGCCCCTGGGTCAGGACCTGGCACCCGCCACAGCGCCTGGCACCCATCCCAGCGCCCGGCACCCGCCACAGCGCCCAGCACCCATCCCAGTGCCCGGCACCCATCCCAGCGCCCGCAGCACCCATCAGAGGGCCCGGCACCCATCACAGCGCCCGGCACCCATCCCAGCACCTGGCACCCATCCCAGCACCCGCAGCACCCATCAGAGGGCTCAGCACCCACCCCAGCGCCCGCACCTCCGGGGGCTCGGACGTGCTGCCTGAAGGACAGAGGCTGAACCCGAACCCCCTAGGTGGAGCGGCATGCAGACCGAGGCCCTGGTGGGCAGTGGGGAGCAGACACCCCCCCCACGGCGGGCAGTGGGGGACAGACCCCCCCACGGCGGCAGTGGGGAGCAGACCCCACCCCCCACGGCGGCAGCGGGGAGCACCCCGGTGGGTCACGCCCAGCGCACCGCCTGGCGCTCGGCCGGCTCCTGGGGGCGGGCACGCACCTTGGAGCAGGTGGGGGTGCAGGGGCTGGTGGGCCGCCAGCACGGCCGTCATCTCGTCGTGGTCGGACGGGTGGATGTACTCGTAGATGCTGTTGCCCGTGAGCTCCACCTGCAGGAGGGAGGGGTCAGGAGTCCGGGACGTGGGGAGGGGGCGTGCGGACCCAGGTCTGCACCGCAGGGACCGGACTCCGGCCCGCGGCCCCCCTCCCAGCGCAGACACACCGTCTTCTCAAACCTCCCCTCCAACGAGGACAGGGTGAGCTAAGACAGCGTCCTGAGCAGGAACAGGGACGCAAAGGGTGAGAAAGGGGAGCATGGCCGGCCGCGTGACTCAGTGGTTCAGCATCCACCTATGAGCCAGGAGGTCACGGTTCAATTCCCGGTCAGGGCCCAGGCTGGGCCCGGCTCGATCCCCATTGGCTGCACGGGAGACAGCCGACCAGTGATTCTCTCTCATCATCGGTGTTTTTCTCCCTCTCTCTCCCCCTCTCTCTCCGTCCCCCCCCCCCTTTTTCTCTCTCCCCTCACTTCCTCTCTGAAATCAACAAACATTTTTTAAATTAAATTAAAAAAAGAGGTGCCAAAGGGGGGACCCTAACAGCCTGGGCAGTACCCTCCTTAGGAGACAAGGAAAGCAGCTGCCCGACGGTCAGCGTGGCCGGAGCGGGTCCGGAGCCTCGCCCCTCGGAGGGGGAGCGGGCGCCTCCGCCCCGATGACTGTGCCGGCCCACAGCTCCCACCTGGGTGCGGCCGGGCCCACCCCACGGAGCTATGTGGCCCTGGGTTCAGACACCGCCTCACCCAGACACAACCACAGAGGACAACAGCCTGGGAAACACCATCCCTGTGACCCTGGCGCAGAGTCCCCGCGGTCACTTCCGAACCCGAGGGGGTCTCTGTTCCCCGGCCACGTGAGTGCCCGGCCCCCCGCCCCCCGCATGCCGCCGGCGGGCAGCCTTCCGAGCAGCCGTGCGGGTCCTCTGGAGGCGAGGACCAGGCCCGGGCGGACCAGGGGCCCAGCGCAGGGATGGCACTTCCTCCATAGCAGGCGCCCCCACAGCCCGGCGGGAAGGACCTCAGAGGGTGGCAGGGCCCTGGGGGGCGTGCAGGACTCCGGGCCTGCTCCGGGCAGAGGCCCGGCCGAGGAGGGGGGCTGGCGAGGCTGGTCCCCGCCCCGCCCGGCGTTCCCCTCGGAGGGTGCTGTGGGAGCCTCCGTGCCCTCGCAGAGCAGAGAGGACCTGACCCCGGGAAGGGGCAGCCGGATGGGCCACCTCACACGGCGGGACAGCCGGCCCAGGTCCTAACGGACAGCGCCCCCACCTTTCCAAGCGGCCGGGGCCACCGGCTCGCCGGGGACCAGGAGAGCGGGAGGCGCGCACCCTCTCCCCGCAGCCAGGGCCTCCAGTCTGTCCAGGAGCGTGAGGTAATGAGGCCCCTGGGACACACGTTCGCGCGTGGATGGGGTCCGCCTGCATGAGCCAGCGTTGGGGCCGGGCCAGCAGCGGGGAGGGCCAGCCCCGCCCCCTGATCCAGCTCCGCGTGGAGTCCCAGGCGAGGGGACCATCTGCATATTAGCCTTTGATTCCATAGGACGTCTCCTCCCCATGTCCTGCCAACAGAGCCATGGAGAGAGTCCTGTGCAGAGACCGCCCTGCCCACCCCCTGGCCTGGCTCTGTCCGAGCGGCCCCATGGAGTCCACCTCCATCCAGAGCCAGCACATGAGGCCACTGAAAAAGAAGGAGCAGAAACAGCACCTTCTTCAAGCCATTCCGCTCCTCCTCACATTTAAATCCCCCGGACAGTTCCGCATCGCATGGAGCCGGGTGGTTTTTTTCAAAAATTATTCTTTGAAAAAAAGAATATATTATTTTTAATATATTCTATTGATTTTTTACAGAGAGAGAGAGAGAGAGAGGGACAGAAACATCGATGAGAGAGAATCGTCGACCAGCTGCCTTCTGCACGCTCCCCACTGGGGAGGTGCCCGCAACCAAGGTCCATGCCCTTGACCGGAATTGAACCTGGGACCTTTCAGTCCACAAGCCGACGCTCAAGCCACTGAGTCAAACCGGTTTCGGCCAGATGATCTTTTCTGGGGCATCGGGACACGCCTTGTGGGTGTCAGGTGGAGAGTGACAAGACTAGTAAATAAGGAAGACATTTTTTTTTTTTTAAGGATTCCCCGTTTCCGTGGCTTATTTTAAAAATAAATAATAAATTAAAGTAAAATAGAATTTCTTTCTTAATCTTCACCTGGGGATACTTCCCTATTGATTTTTAAAAATATATTTTTATTGATTTTCCACAGAGAGGAGGGGAGAGGGATAGAGAGCTAGAAACGTCAAGGAGAGAGAAACATCGACCAGCTGCTTCCTGCACACCCCCTGCCGGGGATGAGCCTGCAACCAAGGTCCATGCCCTTGACCGGAATCGAACCTGGGACCCCTCAGTCCGCAGACCGACGCTCCATCCACTGAGCCAAATCGGTTTCGGCACCCTATTGATTTTTAGAGAGAGCAGACGAGAGAGGGAAAGACGGAAAATATTTATGTGAGAGAGGCACGCGGATTGTCTTCCTCCTGCTGACCTGCCGGGGCCTGGCTGGGGAGCAGGCTGGCGCTCTACCCACTGAGCACACCGGCTGGGGCCGGGTGACTGTGTTGGCCTTCGTTTCTCCCGCCTTTGTTTTTAGGGGGAGGATCGTGCTGGTTTGCTCCAAGGTCTTCTTCAGACCAAAGGACAAAAGGAACCTCTCTGACTGGAGACGTGGCTCCGGGTGGTGCACCAGGCCCTGCCCTGTGCCCGCGGCCCCCCAGCGGCTCCGGCCCCGCAGCCTCTGTGCCCCCAGCCCTCCGCCCCCCTCGCCCGCCGCCCGGAGCGGGAGCAGAGCGAGGCCCGGGCCAGAGGCTGGTTTCCCGAAGGCCCGCCGGGGCCCTCTGCAGCGGAGCTGCCGGGGAGGGAACGCAGGCGTGTTCACATGGATGTCGCCGGCCGGGGGCCCCGAGGGAAGCCGCTCAGGAACAGCTGGTATTGCCAGCCAAGGCCCCGCGCCTCTCGCTCTTGAGACGAAGAGGAAGGTTTTATGTTTGTTGACATAACTCGAACCCTGAAACCCTGAACATGGAAATCCGTGTGTGACCTGGACGGGAACACGGGACGTGCGCTTCCTGTGTTTGCGGATCCGCCGCCTTTGAACCTGGCAGCAAGGCGGCCGCCGCCTCAAAGGAAATAAAGGACGGCCCGGCCCGGCCATAAAGCTCCGCAGGTCCCCACCGGCCGGTCAGACAGCCCCGCACGGCGGCTGCCGCCCCCGAGCGCGTCTCCATGGGCCGGGCCTTTCCCCCCGCGGGAAGCGGCCGACAGCACTGCCCACGGGGTCCATCCTGGGGGGACCCCGGTCTCCGGACACGCAGGGTCCATCCTGGGGGGGCACCCCGGTCTCCGGACACGCAGGGTCCATCCTGGGGGGCACCCCGGTCTCCGGACACGCAGGGTCCATCCTGGGGGGGCACCCCGGTCTCCGGACACGCAGGGTCCATCCTGGGGGGGCACCCCGGTCTCCGGACACGCAGGGTCCATCCTGGGGGGGCACCCCGGTCTCCGGACACGCAGGGTCCATCCTGGGGGGGCACCCCGGTCTCCGGACACGCAGGGTCCATCCTGGGGGGGCACCCCGGTCTCCGGACACGCAGGGTCCATCCTGGGGGGAACCCCGGTCTCCGGACACGCAGGGTCCCGCTCCGGGCGTTTCGCTGACTACGGTGAATTAAGCGTTTTAAAATAAAACGTTTTGAGTTTCAGGGTTCGAGTTATGTCAACAAACATAAAACCTTCCTCTTCGTCTCAAGAGCGAGAGGCGCGGGGCCTTGGCCGGCGACACCGGCTGTTTCTGAGCGGCTTCCCTCGGGGCCCCCGGCCGGCGACATCCATGTGAACACGTCTGCGTTCCCGACACGCCACCCGTGTGTGCGGCCGGGCAAGGACATCCAGGCCACACGGGTGCTCAGGGCCGTCGGAGGCAGCGCCGCAGGCACACGGAGCTTCCTTCCCTCTCCAGCCGGGACCGAGCGCTGAATAAACGGGTAAGAATCCTCCCGGCCCTCGCCAGCAGCCGGCCCGGCCTGTTATGAATGAGACCTGGTCCCCAGCACCACGCCGGCCGCCGGCCTGCCCCCCCGCCCCGGGCGGAGGGCTGAGGCGGGAACTGCGTTCTGCGGTTGTCTCTGTCTTTTTTGTTGTTTGTTTTTTGGTATAAAAATTTGACAGTAAGAGTCCCTGTGTTCCCTCATTTAAAAGTAAAACCAAGAGATCAACCGAAGGACTTGTATGCAGGCAAATAAACATGATTAATGGATACAAGACACGGGTGTGTGTGTGTGTGTGTGTGTGTGTGTGTGTGTGTGTGTGAAGGCTTGAGGGGGGGGTAGGGGAGGCTGGGGGGAGGTTAAGGGGGAAAGAAGGAGACATAGGTATACTATGTATAATGCTTCAACTTAAAAAAATTAAAAATAACTAAACAAAAAAAAAGTAAAAACACATTAACAACTCTCCATACGAAGTTGATTTCTTATCCCAAACTTTTTGAGAAGTGTAATAAAAGGCTTTGAGTTGAGAAGGGCGTGGAAGAGTCATCTTCTCACCCTCACACCGAGATTCTGATGGTTATGTAGGCGGTCCCGGTGGGAGAGAAGCTACCGCTCGGCCCAGGCAAACCAGGGAAGGGGCGTCTGCTCCCGGCGGGAAGGACGGCGTGCCGAACGCGATCCGGCCGCCGAGGGGGTGGAACGTTCCGGAACATGGAAGGCACTATGGAAATACAAGCCGGAACGGACAGCTGTTCCTATGGCTGCTCATCGGGAAACCTGTGTGAAGGTTGCTCTTGGGACGACTGGGTAACACTTTGCGAACATTTTTCTCTCCGGTGACGTACAAAGTTCATTAAGCCTATGTTAACAAAGCTTTCACGGCAACACGTGTGAGCCAAAAGCCAGTTTGCCTGACTTCTTCCTAACAAAATCATCTAAAGGAAAAAAATGTAAAGAGAAGCTGGGTATCTGACATCCTCTTCGATGCTTTATTTTACTGGGTAAGTGAGGAAGACAGAGAAA